AAACGCCTCTCCCTTCCGATCCCCCATGATACCCCCTCGCGCCACACCCTCACCACGCGCCACATCCCTCACAATCGCGCGCGCACGCTCGTAATCGCCATCTTGTGCTAACGCACGCACAACAGCGGCCATGGCGCCCCAACCAGGCAAATTCTGTTTTTTGCTCATGCGCGTGAGCACGCTCATCATCTTGCCCACCTCGCCAAAGGACGCATAGCCCTCGAGTAGACGGTCGAAGAGGACGCGGTCGCTGGGCATGCGCGGTGCGCTGAAGAGGCGGAGGACGATGTCGTCGACGCCGGCGATGTTGGGGGGGTCGGATTGGAAGTAGTGTGTTATAAGGCTTGTGTAGACGTGGACACTGGGGACGAATTTGCGGGATGTCATGTGTTCCATGACGGCGCGCATGGCGTGGAAATTAGAGTATTTTTTGAGGAGCCGGTCGATGGCTGTGGCGTAGATGTAGTCGTTCATTTTGAGGCCGTTGGCTTCGAGGTCGTTTAGGATCTTGAGGATGCGTTCGGTTTGTTGGGCTGGGGTGAGGTTGTCGAAGACTTGGTTGTCGAAGGCGGCGCTGATGAGCATGGTGTGTGTGGCTGCGTCGCCTTCCAGGCCGTCTTTTTCCATCTGTGCGAGGATCTTGAAGGCGGTGCTCCTGTCGTTTGCTCGCAGGTAGAGCTGCACGAGAGAGTTGTATGTGATGGCGTCGGGCTTGATTTGGAAGTTCCTCGACCAGGTGAGTAGTTTCTGGACTAACTCTACTTTCTTCTGGTGGTGCATTCTCTCGCTACGGTTTTGTACAATGGCGGATATGGCGCCGTTGATGACCTCGATTGAAGGCTTTGTGCATGGGTTCATTGCTTTGCTGGTAGATTGGACCTTTTTGGGACCCTTTTGTCCTTTGGTCTGCTTCTGAGAGTTGGCGAGAGCGTGCTCGGCTGCAACCCAGCGTTTGCCCATATCGTCCAGAGCGACAAAGGCTTCGTTGACCTGTTTCAGGGACATCAAGCCGTTGATACGGGCCGTCCAAGCATAGTTGCTTGGCTCTAGACCAGTTCTCAGCATGCGCTGCCACATTGCGTTGAGGCCATCAAGATCCCTCGCCTTTGCGCACCCTTCCAAAAGTGCAACCCAGGAGTGCATATTTGGCTCGACCTTGTGGGCGATCATGTGGTTCCAGACCTCGACGGAGCGCTGTGGGCTGAGAACAGTCATGTACCCAGAAAGAAAGGCGTTGTATATAGCGGGGGGTATAGTCTTGTCTTGCGTGGCGTATGTTTTCTCGGTCTCTCGCCACATGCTGTCCAGCGTGGCTGCCGAGCTTTTGCTTGACACAGCACGCGCAATTCTAGTCATGTAGAATGATTCCAAGTTGGAAAACTCGTCGCCTGTATTATCTGGACCAAGGCTCTCGCCGGCTTTTCCAAGAGCTACTAGGGCTTTTCGTGGAGCGTCATTGATTTCCTCCATAATCGTGACCTGGACATCTTCTGGTAGTTTCTTAAAGTCCGGGGTTTCTGTGTGTTTTAATACTGAGTCTACAAATGAGCCGGCGAGTAGCTGTCTGAGGAAGACTAGAAAGGGGGCGGCTTCCTTTTGTGTCTTTGGATCCAGTGCGTCCGAAATACCGTAGAAATAAACAGCACAAAAAGCCAAGGCAGGACTAGCGACATAGTTAGGAATGTAGCCTTGCAAGCGCATGTTAAATTGTCTCTGATCAAGCATATCCGGAATCGAGTCGACAGGTGGTAAGTGCCATTCCGTACTGACAGACTCTATTGTACCGCTTCCCGGCCCCATGCATTGGAAGAAGAGTCGCCATACAGACAGTAGTTCCGTGACTAGTGAAGGGATGTCTCTTGCCGATCCAGAAGGGGAGTTCACAGCACGTATGATTTCATACGTTAGATAACCTATCGTTGGTCTGACCCAGTACTCCTTCCGAGCAATGCCAAGTTGCGCATATTTGAGAAGTACTGCAGTTGGTGTAACCTTCAAACCCGGGCTGGCTGCGCAAAAGGTACTCGAGACGGCTCTGAGGAGTTTGGCAAATACCCGGTCTTCACTCAACAGCTGCGCATCGCGATCTGTTGGCTCCGTCAGGGCTTTACAGTCGCGTGAAGTATAGATGCTCTCAAACGCTTTCCAGGCTCCATTGATCTTGCCGTAGCGGAGAGCGTCGAGCACTGGATCAGCAAAGGCTGTGCCCATTCCAGACGATCCGTTCTGTACTGCATCGACGTATGCAGGTTCCTCTTCACCAACACCATACGTTGAGCCTTGATTTGTTCCGTTGTAGATGAGCCTGGAGTATCGGCCAAGTGGTTGTTGGCTGTGGGGTGATTGCCCGTCGCGTGCGCCCGTAAATCGTATATTTGGCCCGTTGCGATTCGTTCCCTGTGCGCCGTCTTCCTCATCTCTATTTTGCGTAGATGCTTCTTCATTTGGTGGTTCGGCGGCATCGTGTGGCTTTCGGCCGGCCAGCGAAACGATCGTGGCTCGAGGTTGCCATTGAGGGCGTCGCACGGGGGCAATGCGTCGGGCCAGACGTGTCCGGCACTGTCGACATACGTATGCGCTTAGCATAATGCTGTGGCGAGCCTGAGGGGGGTGGAGGGGTGTGAATGCTGGCGACGACTGTTAGCTGGTGAGATCGAAACTTTTTGGCGTATGAGTTTGCACACCTACAATCGCTTTTCAAGCCCTCATTTGCGCGGTACTGTCGAATCAAAGAACGCCCCTAAGTCCAGTATACCGTCCCGCGTGGATTGTTGTACAGAAATGCGTGCAGCCACAAATCGCGTGAAGGTGTCGCGATGCTGTGCGGAATACCTCCGGCCAATGAGACGCCATGACGTCCACACGCTTCACGTGACTGCGGGCTTTCTCCAGAAACCTTCCAGGCCACCTCAACCTCATTGTTCATGCTCTGCATAGCGGAAGAGCTACAATTATAGATCTATTTTCATCTCCGAGCCTCAGTGTGATTGATAAAACATACGATGACGACCCTGATCCCACGGCAGTTCTATTCGCAGGACGAGCTCGATAAGCTTTATCCGAAAGAGCTTGAGTTGCAGCTCGTACAGATTGTGAGCACCAATGTCATAGCTTCTCCTTGTACCACCACTAACTAAAATACCAGTTACTTCGCCATGGTGGGTAACAGCGATGTCTCACCCACATGTTAGTAAGCTCATGTACTGACGTCTACACATAGGCGAAAGAAGCCCTGTATCTCCGCGATTCCAAAATGTAGGCATCCTAGCTCGTGCATTACAATGCCATTGTTAACATGATCAGACTGGACTGCCACCTTGTAAGACATCTCTCACGAGCTGACCGAGAGATTTCTGACTCGACAAGATTGGCCCTACTGCAACTCCGCCCGACAACTTACAAGTATAATACTGAACACCAAGGACTTTTCGAAATGGGATCAGCTGAAATATCGCCGTCGTCTCGAGACTTTTGGCATGGATGATGGGCCCGGTAATACATTCGCTCATTTACCCCGGACGGCCACTAACAACAACCAGTCATTGCATCAGGACCTAAAGGCGAATTCGATGCCATATGTCAACCCGGTGAACTCACAGACAAGGGCCGTGAAACAACTCTAGCTCTAGGAGAGCGCCTTCGTCATCTCTACGTCAACCAGCTCAAATTCATGCCCGAGCTCATCTCCGATAGTGACATGATCTATCTACGCGCAACGCCTATTCCACGCGCTCTAGAGTCTCTTCAACAAGCCTTCTGGGGCTTCTACCCACCATCCGCACGAACTGCAGACTTCCCTCCTCCAACAATCATCACCCGAACCCCGGCAGATGAAACGCTCTTCCCCAACGATGCAAGCTGTAGACGTTTCGCTCAATTGAGCCGAGCATTCGCGCAACGTGCAGCTGAGCGTTGGAACGACACCGATGACATGCGCTACCTCACCAAGGTGCTTTCGAAATGGATGCCAGGAGAGCAAAAAGTAGCGGTGGACTCTCACCCTAGGCTTTCCGGTATCATGGACACCCTCAACGCCACCGACGCTCACGGCCCGGAAACCAAGCTTCCCAAGGAGTTCTACGACCCCAAAGCCCGTGCCATCATCGATAAGATCGCGGTCGAGGAATGGTACGCAGGCTACACTGAGTCTTCCGAGTACCGTATGCTCGGCATCGGCGGCCTAATGGGCGACATCACCTCCCGAATGGTCGGCAGCGTCGAGCGCAACGGCAACTCCGGCATCGTTGAAGTCGGCGGCGTAGACGGAAAACTAGGCAAAGGACGAGGCGGCGAAACCAACATCCGCTTCGCCATGTCAGGATGCCACGATACTACCCTGGCCGGCGTACTCACGTCACTGGGTGCCTTCAACGGCGAGAAATGGCCCCCATTCACCTCTCACATCGCCGTCGAAATGTTCCGCAAGCGAAACCCCACCTCCATCACAAACCCTCCCGTCGCCCCCACAGAGCAAGACCCCGCTCTCAAAAGCCAAAGCTGGTGGTCCACGCTCTTCGGCAGCACAAAAACCACTTCAGACACCAGTCTCGCTCCCGAAGGCATAGCCCGCAAGCCCATCACCGATCTCACCACCGCACAACGCGACCAACTAAACGACTACTACGTCCGTCTCCGGTACAACGACAAAGTCATGGAGATACCGGGTTGCAAAGCACCGGGCAAGCATCTGGAGGGCGATACTAGTTTCTGCACGCTGGACGCGTTCAAGGCTATTGTGGATAAGTATACGCCGAAGAATTGGAAGGCGGCTTGTGCGACAAGGTTGGATGAGCCGGCTTTCCCGGTTAAGATTGAGCCCGCGGGGTTTGAGTAGGGGTATGTGGGGTTGATGTCGTGGATGAAGTATAGGAGAACCGCGCGGCTATAGACGAATATTCTTTGTACGAAGGGATAGAGATAGACTAGATAACAACAAAGATTCTCTTTCCTGACTTCCACCCCAACTACAAAACCACATCTGGATACATACTTCCTTCCCCCTACATCCCCAAACACAGCCCGCTGCGTACCACACCCCAAACCTTTCCGCGCCGTTCCCTCACAAGCTGCTCATATTTCTCCTCCAGCCCCATAATCTTCCCATCGCGTTCCCTCAGCTCCCCTCGTAGCCCTTCCATCTCTTCTCTCAGCTCTGAAATCCTTGTCCAATCTTGTGTTTGGAGCTGCGCCTGGAGAACCTGAACCTGTTGGCTCAACTCCATTTTCTCAGCCCTCAGCTCCGAAATGGTTTGTCCGTTTTGGATTTGGTGTTGTAGGAGTTGGTGGCGTAGGTCTAGTGCTTTTGCTTGGAGTGAAGAGATGGTTTTGTTGAGGTCTTGTACTTCTGTGTCGGTGCGATGGGTGTAGTAGGTGAATATTGTGGCGGCGAGACCGTCGAGGGCGCTGTTGGTGAGGGTGGCGAGGTGGGAGATGAGGTCTGTGGTGAATAAGGCTAGGGGGAAGGAGGATAGGGAGGAGGATGACATGGTGGAGTGGGTGTGTTGGTGCTTTGGTGTTTTGGTAAGGGGAAGAAAGGATGGAGGTGGTGGATATGTGCTGATGATGTTGCTGTGACGGTGAAGGAGACATAATAAATATAAATCCCATGTAAGTTCAGAGCGTCAATGTTGTCTTACTTTACAACGAATGTGACTCTTGAGTACCTATCAGGAACACAGACCAAGTAATAAGACACGTTGAGTACAACAGATTGTCCATCGATTCTGCGACACATCGAAAGTGTCTCATCTAGTGACTTAGATGCTCAAGCTCCCTTCCTACATTTCCCAAATACCCTCCGTCCAAGATACGACTTCAGCCTACCAAAGAAATTCCGTCGCTTCGACACCTCCTTACATTCCTTATCCGCGACAATAGTACCACTCTCTTTACCCGTCTGCTCAGCATCCCCTTCTTCTTCTTCTTCCTCTTCTTCCTCCTCCTCATACCTCCGCACCCTCGCTTCTTCCGCCTCAGCCTCCAGCCTTTCCCTTTCCTCCTCCTCCTCCCTCTCCTTCACCGCCCTCTCCCTAGCCCTCGCCGCCCTCTCCCTCAACATCTCCTTCCGTTCCTTCAAATGCGCTGCATAATCCTCCGCAACAGTCACACTAGTATCGTACCTCGCCGCTTCATCCGGAAAATCGAGCGGTTTCGCGTTGGATGGAAGGCCTAAACGTGCCATGTATTGCTCCCAGGATTCTGTTGTAGGACGTGGATCTGGGCTGGTTTGTGTGGGTTTGATGTCCGCGATGATGTGAATTTGGAATGACATGGTTGTTGATGTTATTGAGGGTATGTTAGGCAAGGTGTAATTGTGACCTTATGGGTTGGAGAAAAGGGAAGAGCCACTGTAGTGTTTCAGTTGCGTGATGGACTTGGGAACACATGGCAGAGCGTTAATGTAGATCTCTTTGACCCCTTTCACCAAAGCATACAAAGGCATATATTTCTAGCGCAACACGCCATTCACTTCAGTGCCGAATGAAACTTGAAGCTATTCTGGCCTTATTTGATAGTGAGTGCACGGAGAGCAGTCGATCATGAATTAATTTTGAGTATCTTACATGTATACCCTTTACTGTACATGGTCAATTGAAGCCGCTGTATACAGAGCCCTGTCTAATCAAGACAAACTCTCGTCGCACGGCTGACACCTGATGTACAAGACTCATGCCGCTAGTAAATACATTCGTAAAAGTGGCCTAATCCGCTGACAGTAGATTCTAGACACCAGACAAACACCCCGCTGGTAGTATCTTACAGCTTCACCGATACTCCCATCACATACCAAGCCGCTGAAATCGAGACGAAAGTTCAGAAACATCTAGGTGTCATGTCAGCATACACGCAATGAGATCAGAGCGTTCAAAAGCATTCCACTAACTCGCAGAAGCCTCGTCAGCCACCCTATCCGAATGCCGTATGGTGCCTGTAAAACGCCCTGTACCACCAGCAAGCATGCCATCAAACTCAGCGGCACGAGCTGCTTCGGCGTCTTCCCAGCCGGTTCTCAAGTCCCAGGCCGCATCCAGTGCAGCCAGCTCAGAAGGATCGATGTCTTGCACAATGTCACCCAAGTGGCTCCACTTGGCGCTCAGCATAGCAGGCGCAAGAGCGACAATACGCTTGCTAAGCATCTGGTTGCGCCAGTGAGCAGCCATGCCAAGAGGATCGACATCAGATTGATCAAAGGATGAGCTGGACAGCTTAGCATAACCGCATGAAACAAACTCGATTGTTCGCAGTGAGGTAGTGCGCTCGCCGTCGGCCTTGGAATGCTCAGATCCGAAGTCGGAGAGGTTGGTGCCGGGTGATATTTGATCAATGATATCCATCCAAGAGCCTTCGCGGGGCTGTGCCTTGAGTACAGACTGGGCGTCACCTGGAGCTGGATTGTTTGCTAACGCAGGAAGAGGTTGAGGCTGCTGCCCTAGAATTAACTGCGTTTGCAATTGATGGACCTGTTGAGCGAGCTGGGCCACAGTGGCGAAATTGATATGCTGTTGAGCGATTGCCTGAACCTGCTGGTTCGGCTGCGCCTGTGGCTGCACAGGAGCTTGGGGTTGGCCTTGAGGTTGAACTTGAGCTGGTGCTTGTCCTTGACCTTGAGGTTGAGCTTGATTTTGTGGCTGTTGTCCTGGGTTGTTGGGCACCTGTCCGATCTGCTGTTGCAGTTGGTTATGTAAGGCCGCTATATTGTTGTTTTGAAAACCTCCAGCGTGGGCCTGTAGGTGTTGAAGTTGCGTTTGAAGCGTCTGGATATAAGCCTGAAGGAACTGCTGCTGATTTGGCACTAATTGCGGACCTTGGGCACCGACAGCGCCAAATAGTGCACCTACCGGAAGATGAGGCGGCATTATATTGTGAAATACCGCTGGTTGGGGGTGTGGGTTGGCGTTAGGACGCAGCACGCCCGTAAGTGACACCGAATCCAATACCAAAGTCTGCAGCTTGTACTGATCGTGCATCTTGACGAATTCGCGCAAAGCTGGTGGCGTAATCCAGCAGTTGTTAAGCACGAGTTGTTCTACATGAGGGAACTGAAGCAAACCTGCCTTCATAAGAGCTGCATCAGTCGCGACCAGCACCGTAGGGTGGATAGAAGGAGGATTCTCTGAACGACCTCGTATATCCATTACGGGAGCAGGGAAAATCAGTTTGTTCCTCGCGTATAGTCCCTCAGCATGTTCGCCTCCAGTGACAAAACCAACTTTCAGATGACGGATGTTCGCTCGACCAGCAACATGATGGCGGAGTAGGTCGAATAGTATACCATGGCTTTGCGTGGGGCTAATCTTTGGCGCGTCAACGAAGCCGGCCTCGTCCTTTTGCACAGTTCGCCAGCATGGGATCACCATAATAGTAACGTTGTGGAGTTCTGGTAGTGCGTCCCAGAAATCCGAACGATTTAGCATTGGAAGGTAACGATCGGAGAGCCCGGAAATGTTCAGCGTATGTACGTGTTCGAACGTGGTCGGGTTGTCGATGATAGAGAGCATGTACGAAGACATGAACGCTCGTTGGGCCCACTCAGTCTCCAATAGCCATTCTTTCTGCGCTTTGGTGAGCTTGGCGGGTATGACAGGGTTCACGAGGTGCGCTCCTTCCGATGGCATTTTACTCGATGAGAACAGAATACCTGTACCTGAAGGTGGTGGGGTTGACACAAAGCGCTCCAGAACATACGGGTCTTCGAAGCTATTAGGAACAGGGAGATCGCCGGGTTCATAAGGAGTAGCAGCATGGAGAAGCTGAGGATCCAAGTAGGGCATCTGTGGTTGCTCATCTGCAAGATTGTTGGCATCCTTCAGCTCGGCAAGAGGAAGTTGACCATCCATCCTGTATAGTGTGGCCAGTCTAACATCGCTACCAGCGTTCTGGTGGCATGATTCAATGTGATTCCAAAGTTCCTGTTGGGCCTGGGCTCTACGATCTGGGATGGCTTTGGCAGTGCCAAAGACGCGAGATGGCTTCTGCAAGACACGTGCTCGAATAGATCTGTCCGGTCCGTTCAGCCATCCTAAACCGCTATCAATGGAAAGCGCCAGTTCCCTGACACTTTTAAGCTCGGAAAATGCTGTTTTCATCCGCGGTGTTTCATCAGCGGCATTTTCGAGTCCAGCGACAGTATCGAAGCGACGATACTCTTCATGTGGCCAGTCGTAGTTACCCCAAAAGCTTGTCTTTTTCTCCGTCAGGGACTTGACGGGCGGCATGGAAAGCGATTCTTCGTTGACTTCAAAGCTCATGCCAAACTTCCTAATGTGTGTACCGAAGCCGCGGAAGACGTCGAGGCCATGCCCATTGTACACTTCATCGCCGTTTGCGTTCTTCCATAAGTAGCTGGGTTGCTCGATTCGTGCGCGCTTTTTGCCCTTGAAGTCAGGCTTGTGCTCTTGTGCTAGCATGCCGTAGATCTCGGTATTGAAGGGAACAACCACTGTCCGGAAGATGACCTGCGAGACCGATTTGTTCATCTCGCGGCTTACAAGCCGCAGTGATTTTATGTCGTCGCGGTTGAGGTGTTCCGCGATCATCTCTACAAGCTCAACCGGCAGCTTCCATTTCGGGCGCCCGGCCGAAGGGCTAGGAGGAGTGTCACGCGACTCCTCATTCCTTGCAGTCTTTACTGCCTTCTTTCCACTTTTCTTGGAGGGGGGATGCTTTGGATCCTGATCAGATGCGAGCAATTTGCTCTTGTCGAGCAGATAGTACTTGGCGGGTAGTTTTGTGGAACTGCGGCATTCGGGCCAAATATCGTTCGCTTGAGGGTTGGGGCTGATGCTGTTGTATAGCATGGCACTGATGGCACCCCTAAAGTTCAGGACGTGTGCGATGGCCTTTTCTTCTGGACCCTCATAGCTATCGCGCGAGCGCTTCGAAGGGCCGGGCATGATTTGGTGATGTGAGTAGGTGAAGGGACGGTGGAGATTGTTCGCGGGTGACGAGGGGCCTCCAAAGGGAGCTGGTGCACCAACTGGAATTCGGTCTGCTTCGTCGTCCCAGTCGCCGTCGGTGAAGTGAACGCGCCGGGAGTGGCCACCGGAATCACTTTCACTGTGATCGTATATGCCCGCATCGTCTTGTCCAAACCTCTCCGCGTCTTCCAGCAGGTCCAAGTGCAAGGCCATCGCAAGCTCGTGGTCGTACGGATCTTCTGACATTGAGCCTTCGCCTTCGCCTTCGCCTTCACCTTCTGGTGCTTGAGGGGTCGGGTTGTACAGTGAGTGAGCGAGAGGAGGATGCCTTCGCCGTCCACGTGGATCGAGGCGGTATCTGTATGGGCGGCCGCGTGACGAGGAGCCTCGGTAAGATGTCGCTCCTGGGTTTGCGAAGTATTGATGAATGAGAGGCTGATATATGTTGGGCGGGTTGTTCGCGGCTTCGGGACGTGGGGAGGGCGTCGGGCTAGCAAAGAGGGTCGCGGGCTGTTGCATGTCAGCATATGGCAGGAGCGAAGGGGTAATGATGGCCTCATGCCTGCCAAAAGCAGATGTTGCTGTCGGCATGCACGTGCGGCGTGCCGTAACGGCGGAAGGTGCGTATGAGGTTTGCCGTACCTGGGCAGGAGCGTTTGTTTGGGTTCCGCTACTCTCACCTTCCGTATCCTGGGGCGCCGCTTCGTTCGAGCGCAATGCCCACCATGGCGTCAGCCTTTGGGTGATACTGCGCCTTCCTTCGTTGTTCGCCATGATCTCGTGACTGAGCCAGACCGCTCCTTGGGCGATCTACAACGTCTCGGGACTCCAGATAGCTTCCGAAGGGCACGCGGTACAGCGGTAATACAGCACTGCGCCCATGGAGCCGCGACGGCAGGCCGTTGGGAACCGGCGGATATTTCTGTACCTAAGTGTCTATCAGTGAGATGACACAAAGAGATCAGTGTGCATGTCGCGATGAGAGTGAGGTTCGGCACGGCGGCATGCGGTGGTGTTGCATGCTTCATTCACAAGCCCAAGCCCAAGAAGTTGTTTGTGCTGGAGCCGCAAACGCGCCCCGCCGAGCCCATGCACGATGTCATCCCGCCCTGCGAACCATCCCCAGGTCTCCGCACTTGCGCCACGGCCAACATTACCCCTGGCAGCAAGATCCTCGCTCAGTAATTCTAATACTATAGCATCTTTACTGCTTATAGCTCTTCTCAGTGTCGCGGCGTGTTGTTCACTGTGATCAACCCCGTCTTCCGCTCCTGCCCTGTGCCTAAGTGGGCGTCGATAGATGCGCACGCCCCGGCATCTATCTGTCAAATGCCAATTATCCCATCAGGGGAAT